TACCATAATTTGCAAAAAAAAAAAATCTTTCCAAATCAGACAATGTGATTGTCTGGATTTGTTTTCTCATTTTGTCTCTCATAGTTGAGGTCTACCTTACAGGCCTCTCTCATCTTTTTAAGTGGGAGAACTTGCACAATTGGTGACTGACTAAATACTTTTTTGCCCCACTGTATCTATATACACATACAAATACACATATACATTCCGAAATATTTCATACCGAAATATGCTAATATTATATAAACAATTTAATATCAATTTCAGATTTTATTCTGAGCTGTTTCTTTTACACAGTTTAGCATGTAAAATTAAAGTCTGAGAAGCAAATAGAATTGTATACTTCACTGAACATTCATTTAATAATACTACAGATAATCAATTACCTTTCTAAAGCTGCTCTTCTTTTTTCTACAAATTCTGTAGATGAGGAATCTTCCTTGCCTACTTTTACCTTCGTCATGCCTTTGAAGAAAGTGACAAATTCATTTTTTAACCTGATGAAATTCTGAACTTTGTCAAGTTCATATCTAAATGTACAGTATATTAATCTACTAAGGTCACATACATGGTAACTGCCCCAAGGTTATGTGTACAAAGATGGAAGTCTATAGAAAGACCAATAATACAAGAACACCTTGTGAAGATGACAGTTTGCAGAAATAGCTAAACTGACTTGTTGATTATGGAGGGAACTCAGCTAACTTTTATAGGGTTTAGCTGAAAACGGACAAAAATGAAACAACTTGGGGATTTATTGATTTAAAAGGTTTGCTTATGGGAAGTACTATGATATGTAATATGGAAAGGTAGAGATAGTAATTGCTATATTTGTGATTGTAATTGCTATATTTTACTTCAAAGAAGATCTGATTGCCTTTATGATCTTTTTCTTTCTTTTTTGTTATTCATTTTTTTTATCCTTTTATAAACTTTTTCGTTTTACATTTTTTCTAAGTTTCTTTAACTTTTAAAACCTTTGCAAAATCTTATTTTAATAAAAATATATATATAATACCTTAAGGTCACAAAAATATATTTTAATTAGCTATAATTTGAACATCATGCTTGTCTCTTCTGTAAATATGAACTTACTTATATGAACTGTACTATGGTAATGTGGAGAGATCTAATGTGGAGAGAGGCCAATTTTAGGTAATTATTTTCCTTCGCGCCAAAACATTTTTCAGATGGAAGTGTGAGACAAATGTTTTCACTTTAATGAAAACTGCACTTAGTGTCCAGTGCAGAAATTAAGATGCTCAATAATTATTTTCTTTGAGCTCTGCTAGGTTCTATGCTTCACCTGATTTTATTATTTTAATTAAAAAATGTTAAAAGCCAACACACTGCAAAGCAAAACAGGAATCTCAATAACTATATTTTCCTCAAAAATATGAATGGTACTCTAACACTTTACTTAGAAATTATTTCATTTGACCTCCAAAAAACAAAAGATAAGCTGAGATGGGAAAAGCATATTGGGAGATTAAAAAGATAACTGACAATTTATTCAAATACTAGGCTTCTGGAAAATGGGTGCATTTTCATTGCTGATTCATACATTGCAGACATTTGGGGAGAATATCTGACATTCTTCCAACATTCCAAATGGTCCCACTGATTTAAAAAGGACAGGGTTTTGGTTCCTCTTTTAGTAGCCTACAGAAGGGAGGAAGGACTACAGTGAAACAAAACAAGTTATTTTTGTCGCCTTCCATTCATACATACCGCGTTTCCCCGAAAATATGACATGTCCTGAAAATAAGGCCATGGCACATTCTTCAGGTGGGCAAAAATATAAGACCTCCCCCCAAAATAAGCCCCATGGACAACTACCCCCGTCTGTTCAGTCAGAGTGATGCTCTCTGACCTAG